GTAAAATGTGCGACTATTTCCGGTACTGTTGTGACACCTGTTTCTAATTTTTTTTCTTCTCTCTCGTTTGTATGTGCCACTATCTATCTTTGATCTCTTTGACTTCTATGTAAAGATAAAAAGTATGGTAAATTCTATCAACTGTATTGTGAGAAAAAAAGTGATAGCCTCTGTAAACATACACTTCTGATATTTTTTTTTCTTTCTTTATCATTATATTCTTAGAGGTTTATAAAACTATGCAATTTTTCTCTGTTAACCCTAGTGGAACAATAAATTATATATATAAAAAAAAAAAAAAAAAAAAAAAATCGTTGATACCATTCTATCAACTTAATATTTGATCGAACAACTCTTTGTAATTCATGTACTAACGAAAATATATAAAGCTCTGAGTTCTTTCTTTGTTTGTTATTGCATACAGCACATTCATCTTGAAATTTCACCAATGATGACAAGCAAATGGAGCAAAAAAAGAATCTTTCATAGTTAAATGAAATATCTGGTTGAGTCCATAATGAATCAGTTGTTGTTGGAATATCACGAATTGTTGATGTATTTTTTAATCGTAATAATGACAATAATAACGATGTTGATGTTTTGGTTAAATTCGATTATCGAATAAAATCTACTACTTTGTACAAAAATTTTTCATCATTTGTACTCTGATTTTCAGATGATACATCATTTACATCTGTATCAGATTCATCTGAACCTTCACTTGCAAAATCTTTTACATCCAATGTTGGAAAAACATCACTATTTAACATACTTTCATCATCCTTATTGTCGTAACAATCACTTAATACAATGCAAAATAAACTATTAAGATTGGACGAGGCAAAAAGTAGATTTAGTCAAAGTCAAAAATCTTTTTACCTTTCCTGTATAAATCTTCTGGTACGATATTAATATTATTTTGTTCTTGATTCTCATTTGGATCACAAATGGAATCGATAGTACTGTTTATATTTGCTATAATAATAGTAGAAAAATTTTATAAAAATTTTAAAACTATATGAACAATCTTACGCCAATTAAAAAGAGCATTTTTTGGAATGAACTAAAAACTCTTTTCGTAAACCCGATGTCGATATCTTAAGTTTTGTCTTCTTCTTAAATCACGATCTATATGAAATCAGTTATAATAAAATATTGTAAGACGCAATTTAGAAATAAAAATTACGGTGTGTCTGATATTGGCTAACACGTAAATCATCGACACCGGGTAGATATGCATCAATTGGCTTATTCATATTATAAACTGAAAAATAAGTTCATATCTAAAAAAAATAACTTATACAAATTGTCAATTGACGTACAAAAATAAAATAAAAAAAATATTCATATCTAAAATAATTTTTGATCAAACATATATTATAATTTTTTTTTCTTCACAATAGTTAGTTAAAACGTATAAATAAAAATACGAGTTATTTTCACTCTAAAAAATCAAGACAGATGGTGTGTCTAAATAAGATGATTCGTTCGTCTAAACAAGACACTTAGCGCTATTTCTGATTGGTTGGTTAGAGACTAATTTAGACACTTCAAGTGTCCACGGATAACCGATTTCGGACGCTTACGCGTCTTAATCGGTTCTGATTGGACTGTTTGCACCAATCAATTTTAGAGTCTTAGTACTGTCTTTTCTAGACACTTGAGCTATCTATGACTTCTTGGTTCTGAAAAAACGTATTATTTAAATATTTTACCTAATGAAGAATATTTTCAATGGGCGAATTTTATAATTTTTATCTTCAATCAGACCAAATTAAAACTTTTAAAAAATTTCAAAATATTGTTTAACTTATTTTTCTTTTCAAATCTCAATGAAAGTTGCAAACTCTCTATGTTCATCAGAATAATACATTATTAAATATTTTTTTTAAAATAAATATGCAAAGTTTGCAACTTTGGTTGAGATTTAAAAAGAAAAATAAGTTAAACAATATTTTGAAATTTTTTAAAAGTTTTAATTTGGTCTGATTGAAGATAAAAATTATAAAATTCACCCATTGAAAATATTCTTCATTAGGTAAAATATTTAAATAATACGTTTTTCCACAACCAAGAAGTCATAGATAGTTCCATCATGTGATAATATTTTTAATAAATATACATTTAATAAAAAATTGTTTTTAATATAATGTTAAAGTTTAAAATCAAATAGTTGATCTGTTTTATTAATTTTAATAAAAAAAAATATAAATTTTCTTTTGTATCAGTGCTCCATTTCATTTGCATGATGATCTTAATTTGGCATGACGAGTTTATAAAAGCTTGGTGCGAAGCAAATTCCAAGTTTTTTTTTTATCTGAAAAAGAAATCGTAGAATCTTGTGTTAGAAAAGAATAAAAAATATCTTCAGTTTCACCGATATCAGTATATTTGTAAAATCATTTCATACTTGATGCAATATTTTTAAAAAAGCACGAAAACAAACTAATATTTCATCTTAATATAATACAAAGCAAAAATATAAATCTAGTTCATGTTGTACCTGCATATGGTTAATTACTATTTTCTTTTGAGTGTTCAATAAGCATTAAAAGTAATTTATGAGTAGGCCAATGATTCAGATTCATATAAACAATAACAAAAAGTGCTAATATTTTGTGTAGACCAGCAATACCAACACGAACATGCATTTTATATGGCAAGTTTTTTATAAACATAAAGGCTTTTTCAACATTTGAATTAATCGACGGCATCATTAAAACTCCAATTGGAGGATGAGAATTAGACAATCCATTCTAAATAGACAAAGGCAAAAACATAGTTTAAAAGAACACAATTATCTTACTTTAAAAAATATATTTGATTCATTTAGATCACTACATAAATTTTGTATCGTTTGAAAATCTCTTTCAGTTAGCTAAATTGAAAAAATTAATTCAAAATAATCTAATTAATATAACAAATACACTTACAGAATGTTCATTTGAAATTGAATATTTACGAATATGAGTATCAAGTAGTGCACGAGCTTCATGTTCAAGTTTTTCATAAGAAAATAATTTCTTTTTTATCAACGAATATTCATAAATTAACTGAAACAAAAATTGAGACTTATAAATTATATATTTAACTTGAAGCAGCATAAAAGACAGCAAGAATAATGCAAAGAGATGAATAATGAAGACGGAATGAAAAAACAAAGCTTGTGAAGAAAAACAAATTAATGAACTATAAATGAACTTACTGCTTCTTGATGAAATATTTCTTGATGTTGAACAACTTTCAAACTAAATTCGACGTCTTTCTTTTCTAACAGTATTTGTCGTCTTAATTTGTGAGTACTTCGAAGAAGTGCATTGATTTCAGTGATTGAAATATTTTGTGAAGCTTTTCCTTTGGCTTGTATGATAGATCGAAGACGATTTATGTCTTTATCATATGCATCTTGTTCAGATTTTGATATCTTCAAATGCAACATCGATTCTTCATTAGATAAAGTGACACATTCGTCAACATTGTCGTTTGAAATTGCTATAAATAAAAAAGATTTTTATTGAAAAAGAAATAAAGACACTCACCTAAAGTATGATTTGATTCTCGATTGATTGTGGCTAGTGGTATTATATTATTTGATGTTGAAAATGATGTTGTATGATTTGGTGCTGCAGGTGATGTTGTATCATTTGATGTTGCTGGTGATGTTGTATTATTTATTGTTGCTGGCATAATATTACTTATTTTTTTTGCAGCTAAAATACAATGAATTCGGAAATACTCATACCTGAATTAGATTTTATTTCATCGCAATACCTCGTGGTACTAAAGCTTTATGTACGGCCACCACCGGTTGTGCTTGTACTGAAAACATTAATAAAGATTAGATTTGTATGACATATAAATGCGTTCAATACATACAATGGGCTATTTAATTTCAGTCTGAATTTATCAAATAAAAATAATACTTGATTTCAAACTGAAACGTGAGTCTAGGAGTGAGGGGGGGGGTGACTGAGGGTGTGGGTGTTGGTCTGGGACCCACACACACACCCACACCCATGGTGCGGGTGTGGGCGCGCGAATGAGGGTGAGGGTGTGCTTGTGGTTTTGTGTACTATAGGCTTTAGTCCCCTGCACAGTGGACTAAGCGGGGACTAAGCTTTTTGTGGGGGGACTAAGGGGGACTTTGCAGGACTAGGGGGGACTAAGGGTTTTTAGTGAGACTACGTAGTATCAAGCGAGAAAAGTTTGATTCGGAAGAAATTGGTGTAGTTTTTTTGATTTTAGAATTCAGTTTGAAATAAAAAAGCCCATAGACTCGTTCAATAACGTAACACCTGACAGAAACTAATATTAATGTCTTGGAAAGCTACTTGAAATTCTTTGATACATAATGGCATTTAATATAGCTTAGAAGCTTCTAAAAGTTTAACTTCGCGAAGCTTTATCTATCTATGTTTTTTATTTATTCGGATAAAAATTCGGTGTAAACTAAAGACAACTTTTTGAACTTTTATAAAGACTTCTAATCTGATCTCTCACACCTAACTATACTGTTTCTCTAGACTTCAAGCAATTCTCGAAAAAATTCAATTCACTGACTGAAAATGATAAAATATGTGCGATGATTATTTCTCAGAAAAACTTACATTTATTATTGGTAACAATATTATACAATGAATTTTCAAGATATATAAAATCAAGTAAAGCAGGACCATTCTTTTTGAAAGTTAATTCATATAAAAGAAAATTTCTCCGAAGTGGACTATAGTGATTCATAACAGGAGGAATGGGAAAGAACTGACTTTTTCTCGCTCAGTCTGTCTGAAATTCATCTGTTCTTTCTCTTTGAGCAATATTGACTATTTATCTTATTTTTACGATAGAAATAGTTACCTGATGTTAAAAGCATACGACCATCGTGATATAAAAATGAATTTGTCGAAGTTGTGGTCAAAGGTAATTTATTTGGTACAGGTGTTGTGTTAATTGTTGATACATTAACAAGTTTCGTACTTATTGGAGGTATTAATGAAATGGTTGCACGTCGAGAACTTTTCAGACTTAGTGATGATTCATTGGATGTTGTTGTTGCTCGTGGAAATGATTGTTCTTAATAAGAAGATATTAAATGAGATCGTTTATAACTATGTATATCTTGATTATAGCTAAGGTAACTCACGAATTATATTAGATGGTGATACTAATGGTCCTGTTGTTCTGGATTCAATAAATAAATTGTTGGAGTTCGACGAAGTTGTAATGGACGTATCTATAAAAAGAAAAGGCAATCGGTTTATATCAAAATAACCTGAGAAAAACTTACTGCTATCACCAGAAACAATTATTGTTTCATTTTTGCATTGTTTTGTTTGTGGCTTTTCGACTGTCAATTGTCCAAATGCTTCAACATTTGTATCTGGTTCGATCTCTGATAATTTTGAACGTTTTGCTGTTGGATGATTTTTATAATACTTGATATTTCTTTTCTTCTTTGACAACAATTGTGAGATTGTGTGCTACAAATATAAAAATATGGTTTTGATATAGAAATTTTCTAATCGGTACATATATATGAACGTATGAAATACTTACATGAGGAGCTCTTCCCTTCTTACCGTCGACATCTTTGTTTAAATAATTCAATGTTGGATATGCTTCAATAAGTGCTAAAACGAAAGAGTGGTCTAGAGACTTCGAAGTTGAATTTGAGTAAGTTTGAAGAAAATGTGTTGCTGTCTGCTCCAAGAAAACTTTTTGAATTGAAGAAACAAATCTAAAAAAAAAAAAGAACGATTATGATCGAACAATTCATTTTTCTAACCGCGTGATTGTAATCCTTGTTGAATCAAAACACAATATTTTGGTAATACAATTGGTTCATCGATTTCACTCTAAACACAAAAAAAATGATAAAAAATTAGCCTAAAAACCAACAAAGACTCACATTATCTTCATTTTCTTTTTTCTTCTGATTTCGTCGTGGACGAGGTTTTTTAACATAATTATTTTCTTTTTGTTTTTCATCACTATGTGGAATTGAAGGTGAAGAATCAGCTGCAACATCATTTAATTTTCTGGAAGAATTGAAAGTCATTTTCACACCGTTAGGTTGATCTTGTATTTGATCAAAAGATGTAAAATCGAAATAATCTTTTAATTCATAATCATAGAATAAAATTGTTGAATCATTTTCATCAGGAAATAAAAGTCGAATTTTGTTGATAATTGTTTCATAATCACTACCGATGATGATTGTCTTCCGATCTCTATATTCCAAAATAATTTTCATCTAAAAAGAAAAAGAAATTATGATTTTAGATAAAATATGCATTGCTATATTTGCAAAATCGATTTCAAAACTTTATCGGCTTATGTAAAGCATCAGCGTGATTTGCATAGCCATAACAAACATATTAAACTCATTTGTACATGCGGAGGTTCTTTTAGTACTCTTCGTAGTCTTCAAACTCAGTAAGATTTTGTTGTTATTTTATTTGCGAAGTCTATGAATTTCTCAATTTTAGCTGGTCTCGCTTTCATAAAGCTGAAGAATCTCATGAAGATATTGAAAATAAGGGTGATGAGACAGAAATGAGTCAACCAAACGTTGAGGAAGATCATGAATATGAGGTTGACACAGCAGACGAAGATGTAGAAAAGAATGAGATCAATTTTAGCTCTATGGAGGAAGATTTAAGCGAAGAAGAAGAAATAAAAATGTTTGAAAAACGTGTTCTTTATATGGTGTTAACTCTTCAAACACTATATTATACATCAGAAGCAGCAGTTCAATTCGTCATCTCAAGTTTGATAGAATTGTTCCTAGCAATTTCAACGAATAAATTGGTATAAAAATCATAGAATTTTAACTCAGAAAAGAATCGGTTTTTTATTTTTGCAGGATATCAAAACTTTAGCTGCATCTTTGGAAAAATTAAAATCAAGTCATAATCGAAAAAAGAAAGCTACTGAATACTTTCAATACATAGAACCTATAAGTCGTTCCTATCGAGTATGTGAAATTATAATTGTAAAAGCTAACATTAAATTAGAATATTACTTAACTTTTCTTCAGACAACAACAAAGAAAAAGGAAACCAAGGTTGTTAAATATGCATATGTACCTTTTATACAAAGTTTGAAAAATTATTTGGAACTCCCAGAAGTGCAAGCTGATGTTAATCGTGTTGTACCTGATTACAATCATAATTGTATTCAAGACACATATGACGGGATGTTTGCCAGAAATCATCCTAACTTTAACAAATCAACTTATTTAAAAATCGAACTCAACTCGGATGATTTAACAGTTACAAATCCTATATCTCATCGTGCTCATTCAATTTTCTTTTTTTACTGGTCATTGTTGAACGTTGCACCAGAAAAGAGATCTCGACAGGCAGCTAAAAGACTTGTTGCTGCTTGTCCTAAATGGGCACGAAAATATAACTCATTATGTCATACGATTAATGATTTTTTGTCTGGAATATGCCAACTTGCTACTACTGGTAGTATAAAAACTAAGAACGAAAAGATTTTAAAATTTTCTTTAAAATAGGAATTACAGTGAATATAAATGGGAACGATATAACTTATTACGGTGGCTTATTCTTATCACTGGGAGACTATCCAGCTCAGATGTCCTTAAATGGTTTTAAAGAAACTGTTTCTGCGACTCATTTTTGCCATCTTTGTGACATCCAACATAATAATTTAGAAGCAGATATAGGTCATGATTTCCAAACTCTCACCAAAGATGAATATAAACAACGGTTTGCAATACAAATTTTGCTTACCTTGAAATATCTTCTGTTTTTAGTTGTGATGATTTGGATTTGGCTCAGAATTGTGGTCAATCTTTTGATTATTTATCTAAAAAATATGGAATAAATAATAGAAGCTTATTTCATGAAGTGTACGATGTAACTCGTCAATGTCCATTTGACGTGATGCACACGTTATTAGAGGTAAAAGGAGACTTCAAAGAAATCAGTCTTAACAAAAGGAGAATTGAAAAACTGAGCTAATTATTATTAGAAATGCTTAACTCTTAATGTTTCATTTAAAGGGTGTGTTCCCGAATCATTTGAACGCATTTCTCGACTTCTGCTCAACAACAGGATACTTCACAATGGATGAATTCTGTCGAGAGGTCAATCAATTTCCATACGATGAAGGTGAATTAAATTCAAAGCCCCATCTCGACTTAGCTTCCGCTGATCTTAAGAAACAAAATAACTTGGAAATGCCTCTCACATCAATGCAAACATTCCATTTGTTCATCAATTTACCATTTATTCTCAAAAACCTACTCCACTCATCGGATTTTCCGCAATATCAGACAATTCTTATATGTGTGGATATTCTCTCTCTCTGCTTTGCCAACATAATTAATGTCACAACTCCAGAACAATTACGTTTATGTATAAAGAAACACAATGATCTATTTCGAAAGCTCTATCCTGGCAAAATGAAATTCAAATTCCATTTCATGACTCACTTTCCAGAAATAATGAAGGATTTTGGTCCATTAATCTATACCTCTTGTCTTGCTACAGAAAGAAAACACCAATTTTTCAAGGGCAACAAAGTTCGTAATCTAAAAAATCCATCATTAATGTTGGCTAGAAGACATGAACTCTGGCTATGTGTGAATGACCACTGTCAAAATGGCTCTCCCTCTTATACTGCTCTGGCAAATGTTCCAAATGGTATTCTTGACAATCATGAATCTGTTTCTGATGCTCGGGTACAATTTGTTATAGCTCATCTACCTAGTCTTCCATTCAGACCCCTATCGATGTTGAAAGTGTTCAACACTAATGGTTATAAGTACTCAAAACATTCAATCCTCAACTTATCCAAAGAACACTTTCCTCAAATGCCAACAGTTGGAAAAATTAAATGGATATTTTATGATGGAAAAAAATCTGCATTCGTTTGTTATTTGTATGCGGTGAAAACTTATGTACAACAACTAAGAGCATATGAAGTACAAGAAACAAATAAGATCGACTGTTTTCTCTTTGATGATATTTTTTACAAAAAGCCTTTGAAGTTGGTAGCCCTTTCTGATGGTTCTCTCTACTTTCCATTACATCCATATGGTAAATCACTATCCGTCTTATAGATTAGCAATATGTTTTTCTTTTTTTCTCATACGTTATCATCTTTAAAAAAATAAACTTTCTTTTTTTTTAATTAAACTTACTGATTCAAAACTTGAGTCAATATAAAAATCATTTGCATCAAGACGACAAAACAAATAATACCACCAGCAACAATTTGTGTGCAAACAAACAAAAAGTAATTGATACCAGCAAGAATTAATAAACCTAAACAGAAAAAGAACACGTAAATATTAGAAAAAAAAACATCGTAATAGCTAATATAATATACTTAACGATGCGAAGATTTTTCTTCGTGAAGCATGTTCCTATTCCTATTAAAAATCACTGCCTGTACACGAAGATAACACACTCATTAGTTTCGTTTGAACATAGAATTAGAATTGTATTCTCATAACTTCCATAAAAATGAAATATGATTTTTCCAGGTTAAACTGTAGCTGAATCTTGGTTAATATTACAATAGTATGTAATACAGAGTCGTGCATCAATTCCTAGAACTCTTCTTACTATACTGTCATCTGTAAAGTAAATAAATCATTTGAACATGGATCTTGTAAAGAAATGTTTTCTTTTTAAGGTCATATAGTGTGAAACTCACTGCGCTTCTTCATGTCCCATCTCTTGCTTCTGAAACAAAATGGTTTCATATTTTTCGGATCCCAACAGTTCCAATATTGGAACTGTTTTTTTATTATTAAAGAAAAACCTCAATATAAAAGACTGCTGATTTCGAAATGTTTAATATGACAGAGAAAATATTTGTTTATAAAATATATCTTTCAATTAAATATTAGCATGAAAGATTATGAGACACACTATCCGATCGAACTAGTTCCAAAACTCGTTTTTAGAATTGATGCAGTGCTCTAATATAATACATAAGTAACATGAATGTTCTGATGTTAAGAATTCTACTGCACGTAATTTTTCTCATGACTTGAAATTCGGCATTTTACACTAGTCAAATTTCAAAGAAACAAATTTAATTAGGCTCATCTTTGTTTTCTATTTCGTTCAGTGCCTAATGAAAATCTAAAGCTACTCAATTTTAACAGAAAGAAACTAAATTTTCAATTCTTCAGACTAAGTTAGAACTCTGCAAACAGTGTCATAAAAATCTTTCCTACCTTAAGTGATTAACAAGTGTAGTATGTGATAAAATAAGTCGAACTATAAATAAATGAACATAAAAAAAGCCATACTTGAATTAAAAAAATTAACTGTTACCAAATTTAATTCAGCTTCTATAGTAAAATGAAATGCTTGACCGGAATCAACAGAACGTAGAGCAACAATATATAGAAATATATCTAAAATAGAAAAAAAAATATATTCAAGAGTTATTTAATAATCTATAGTATTGGTTGTTGTTTTTGAAAATGAACTATATAATACATTCATACAATAGAACGTAAGCAAAAGTAAGTAACTGGTCAATTTAAATGACCAATGATTCATGTTACTTTTTGGTCTCAATAAAAAAAAAGAGGGCGGTAATAAATTTAATTGAGAAAAGCAAACGCCTAATATGTAAGATGGATTATTATTTAACAATTTTATTGATAAAAAAAATTGTCAGTTGTTACCGTTCTGAAATCTGCAGGCATATATATATAAACTACAGAGATCTGTATTCCAATTCGCTGAAATACTTTAAGACGCATTCGTGTCTATACGTTCATGTGTCTTAAAATAAGGCAGTTGACGCGTCTTAATCAGACTTAAGACGGATGAAACGTCTTGTTAGACACATGGCATTTTTTACAGTGTTATATATGTGAACGACAGCCATTTTTTAATTGTTATTCACTACTAGCCTCTATAAAGGAGATGAGAACGCTTATGAACGCGTGCGAAACAAGCGACCTCTATAAAACACGTTTAAAACGCATTCAGTATGCGTTTTCATACGTTCGTCCGTTTACAACGCATTCTTTAACCATTCGTCTCGGCCTGGATAGTGAGATAAATGATCATTCGAACTGTCAAGACTCATGCAAATCGTATCAATCAAAGACACAATAGCAATACCTCTTTTGATAATGAATGAGAAAGAAAAAAAATGTAATGATGCAGCATGTTTTTTTGTCATATGCATAGGTATTGATAATATCAAAGAATAAAAGAATCTTGAGCTAGTATTATTATCATCGATCGT